AATAATAATAATAATAATAGATGTTAGGGTTATTTCAATATGGGCAATTTGGGAAATGTATAAAAGAATTAAGGGCAAAAACGTAATATACTTGGTCAACATAAAAGGGCTTTTAAGTTAAAAAAAAAAAAAGCTCCCCTCCCCTAGCTTTTGGCTTTTGGCTTAAAATAAGTCATTTCTAACTTAAAATAAGTCACTTTGATAATTGCCAAACACTTTAATAAGTCAAAAATTGGCTTTTAAGCCAGTTTGACTAGCTTAAAAGCCCATCCAAACAGGCTCTAAGTACTTCTAGTTTTTAACTGATAAGTCACTTAAAAAAAAAAAAAATTAATCCAAATGCCTTCGGTTGCACAATTTTATCTCATTTTCTTTCCGATCCGTACTTGTGGTCTGTCCCTTCCCACCGTCATTTTCCCATTTTAAAATCCCTAGTCTTTGACAAACAATTTTAAAGGTAGGTCCTACTCCATTTATGTTACTATAAAATAATACTTCCTCTATTTAAAAAAGAATTGTTTTTTTTAATCTGTTTAAAAAAGAATAATTTCTTACCTTTTTTGGCAACACTTTAATTTTAACTTTTCACCTTGCATGTTTAAGGCCATAAAATTAACGAGCATTTTGATACATTTGACATAACTTTAATTTAGAATCATAAACTTAAAAAGTCTTATTTCATTTCTTAAACTCCGTTTCAAGTCAAATTAGGACATTCTTTTTGAAACGGAGAGAGTACTATATAAAGCTTATTTGAGCAACCAACAATCCGTCATATCTCCAATTATTGTTACCTGAGTGATCTGTTCTACTTGAATTATCCCTTATAGATATGGACTCCTCAAGAATGAGTCTGCGTCCATTTAAGTTAACGGACGTTGATGATATGATGTTATGGGCAGGCGATGATCGCGTTACTCAAACCATCCGATGGAATACTTTGACCTCCAAAGAAGAGGCATTGACCTTCATCAAGGATGTATGTATACCCCACCCTTGCCGTCGATCTATATGCATCGATGACCGTTCGATTGGATTTGTATCTGTATTCCCCGGATCAGGTATTCTTTTACTTTATTCTCATTTTGCATTCCGTATCTGAGATTCACTAGCTCGACTGATCTGAATAATCAGGTGATGATAGAAGTCGAGCTGATGTCGGATATGCTGTTGCTTTTGAATATTGGGGGCAGGGGATTGGTACTGAAGCACTCAAAATGACAATCCCTCAAGTGTACAGTGAGTTTCCTGAAGTAATAAGGCTTCAGGCATTAGTTGATGTTGAGAACAAGGCATCCCAAAGGGTATTGGAGAAGGTTGGATTCATCAAGGAGGGGAAATTGAGAAAATATGGATATCACAAGGGGAAATTAGTGGATCTGTTCATGTACAGTCTCTTATCCACTGAGTCGATTTACTGATACCACTTCTTCAGGTCCATGAAGTCGCAAATTTTTTTTAATACATGTAATTGAAAATTAGCCACGTTCCAGGATATTTTCACTTGTAGAATTTGAAACTCAGGCTATTTTGAGATTACATAGCTGAAAAGTGACTATGCCTGTTGCATATACCTTTACCTCACGGTCTTGTTTACTGTATAAAATAGAAACAAGTAAAACACACTCACGCCATCACAGAATCAACAACTGTATGTCTTTCCTGAGAATCAAAATGCTACTTATTTTACTTTTGTTCGACTCACATTCACATATTTTGTCTCCCAAGGTAACACTATATTCTCTGAACAAGATGAATCCGAACATCTTTTTATTAAATTTATGAATTCTTGGAGAGTTTATGAGCTATGTTTGACACTGAAAATCTTATTTGCAGCAGGTTTAACATAATTCAAATGCCATATTAAAACTTTGAAATCAATGTTGACCTATAATCAGTTACTTTTCCGAAAGTCTAATCTCTTTAGCACAACAATATTGCAAAAATGTCCATGCTCAGAGCACAGGCACAGGGCCATCTGTAAATAATATAATTGATACGTGACTTGGGTACCACAAATAATTAGGAGTACATTTGAATTTTGATTACCTCTGTCCAACGACAAAGAATCATCTCATTTTACACTGCTAAAATGTGAATTATATGATCTCCAAGAATTAAAAATGAAAGAAGTACGATAATAATGATGCAGTGAACGCCATATAGCAAAGGGGGAGTGCATGCAACAATATAAGTACTTGTAAAACTGTTATCGTTGGAGTGGCAAACAAGCAGGTCAAGTCGAATTAGTTGATCAAAAACAAGTTAAATAAAAATTGATAAAATACTCTACTCAACTCGTATTTTAAATGGGTAAAAATGAGTTACCCCAATGGATAATATAGATATCCATATTAATCCATGTTATTATAGAGATCATCTTAAAAGCTTCAAAAGCATAATCTCTTACCCCACTTACCACCCTCCCCAATGCCAATGCCTCAAAAACTAAATTTATCTTTTATTTCCTTTTTAAAAAAAATTAAATTTATTTTTTACTACTTCAACCCTCCACCCAACCCCCCATGCCCCTTCACTAAAAAAAATCAATTTTTTTCCTTATCCAACCCATCCATACCCGGATCACCTACACCTTAAGAAAAATATTAATGCCACTTATGTTTCTTTTATAAATGAGTCTCTTTTACCCATTTAACTACCCACTTTTAAATGGGTACCCAACTTATTTAAAATGGGTAATTTGAATGGATACCCATATAAATTACCCATGTTGCCATCTCTATCATCGTCAATGAAGAGAGCCAGCGACAGCAAAGTGAAGTCTATTCAAAATCAATACTTTTATAAGTAAATATTCTTCCAAACAAGGAAGAAAAACAGATGATTTATAAGGTACACTCTTTCGACAAAAGAAAAGTCTAATGATCACCAGCCCTTTCCATCAAAACTTCAGAATAGCAGAAATCCTGTCACAAGAAGCATCAGATGATTAACAGAGGAACCAGGAATATATTACAAATGTATGATATATGAAATGGAACTTAATACTTCAATGTTAAAAATGAGCAGAATATCATTTACTTACATATTTTGTTGAAAGCAACAATATCACAGCTCTGCACATACTCATTGATTGGTTCAACCGTTAGATAATTCTCAATGAGATCATCCACGGAGACCAAATCATCCACAATGGTAAGCATAATTTGCAGCTTCTTTATACCATATCCAACAGGAACAAGTTTAGCTGAAATGAAACCACAGTTATGCTTGTCAACAAACACCAACAATTTAATAACTTTTTTCCGGACAAATCAGTGGACTGATGGAATAAGACACGAGCAATCAAGAAAGAAATGCTAAAAGGTATTGGAGTGATTAAAAAGCAATTGTCTCTCAACTCTTCAGGTAAAAAATAAAATTCAACTCAACGGAACAAAAACAGAAACTCACATGCTCCAAAAGTCAATCCTTCCATATGAACACTTCGAACTGCTTCTTCAAGCTTTTTCATATCAGTCTCATCATCCCATGGCTTGACATCCATGAGAACTGAGGACTTGCCAGCTGAAGTCAAATGGGATCAAAAGCAATGTCAGTCTATGCTCATGACGAACTTCAAAGTTTCTACAAGTTTATCCTCTTAGTGTTCGACTTGGTTAGTTACACATGGTTTTCTAAGTTCTTAAATCAAAACATATATTGAAAATTTTAGTCATGATATTACACTACAAACTTACATTCTTTCTTCTTCCCTGAAGCCTTCAATGCTGCAGCACGTTCTTCAGCAGCCTTCTTTTCCTCTTCAGTTTCCTCACCAAATAGGTCAACGTCGTCATCGTCATCGTCATCTTCAGCAGCGGAGGCCTAGAGGCATTAAATCAAAGAGAAACAGATTACAAAAGATTATTTCACTGGCAGTAGTCCATTCACAGTTTCACGTAGCATTACTGTGCTAGAAGATAAAAAGAGACTGATGATGACAAAAAGACAATTCACTCTGTGATGCAATCCAAAAAGCAGCAAAGAGAATGAGAAGGCAACATAAACTAAATATCAATTCAGAACAGATAAATGTCACACCTTACTGTCATCAGCAGGGGGAGTTGCAACAGCCTCAGTGATGGGTGCAGACCCCTCTACAATAACACCAGCACCTTCACCGGATACACCACTGCAGGAAAATGATACTCAGTGAGATCAGTTTGCCAAGGAAGGAGAACGTACCTTAACAATTCCCCAAATACAAGTCGAAGAAGCTAAAAATACCAATCAAACATACCAACGGAAATACAAAGTCAATAAGCTCTTGGACTTACGAGATTCTCAAAAGTGCATCAATGTGCTTATACCACCTCAATGCATTGACATATTCAGCTGATGGAGGTTTTGCTAGATATGAATACACAGTGATATCATCCTTTGAGGCTTGGTACCTGAAGACATGGATTAAACAACAAACATTCACATTTGGATTAAAATTAAAATAGTATCAGAGGAAACATGTAAGTTACAAAACAAGAGTAACTCACTCACCCAGTGATGTAACTGCGGGTCAGGAGGTAGTCGTCAAGCTTCTTGAGACCAGATTCAGAGTTGACGTTGTGAAATGCAACAGCCATTGCTTGATGACAATATATATAAGCCTTTCTGCAATTGTACAAAAATACAGCATCAACACTTGCATTGTCCAACAATTAATACTAACATGTTGCATATTTCACCAACCAACCCCGTGCACACAAACCATATATACTACCCAACTAAACTCGACATTCCAGAATCAATGGAATTGTCAGAACACGGATTCTAGGTCTCCTTGACCCAAAACCTGTTAAAAAACTTTCACTCAATAAAACCAAAATGCCCTCAGTACCTCTGAAAATTTGACCAAAACCTCACCTACGCCTAAAATCATCCCCGAATCCAATGGTGTAATTGGGTGTCTAAATTTTATACTAGGTTAAGGCAACTACAAATCACTAAACATGGATTAACAATAATCTAAGAAAAACCTATTCCAATCTGGTTTAGCTAAACTCCTCTCCCCATCTGTGCAACCCTAAAGGCGCCGCCGCCACTAAAGCAGTGGCTGTAGGCCCAAAAAAAAATGACAAATCCGAAAGAATAAAATTCAATTCAAACAAATACACAAGGATATATCATATGATTCATGAGACTCAAATCTATATACATACGAAAACGCAAAATCGCACAGAAAAGGAATAAATTCGAGCAAGAGGCAACATTAAACGAAGAAACACAACAACAGAGAGTCAGTAAAGCGAAAAGATGAAGGAGATACATACATCGGAAGAGATACAACCAGAGCTGAACAATTCTGATGAACTGAGAACCATCCTCTTAAGCAATACTTAGCAGAATGTGTAGCTGCGCATGCTCGGAAAGACCAAAATACCCCTGGCTGAAGCCCTAACATCGAAATGTGTGAGGCCCATTAAACATAAAACTGTGTGTCATATTGGGCCTGCGGGAAGGACTTTTCGTGAGAAATGAATATACGAAAAACTACAAATATGTTGTGTATTTACTATACGCTTTTAGATCAAAGTTTGAGATATATACTACTTAACTAATTGCAAAGATAATGACAATTCATGACCAAAAACTTAAGCATAACTCCGCATAGTTATTCACTAACATGAATTGTGTAGCTCAAAACTTCTCCATTTCATATACACTTGATACAATTGTACTTATTGATATAGAGTGAATACACAAGGAACATATACATTTAATACAATTGTGTTCACTCATACAACTTGTATCCACTCATATACAATTGTATTAGTTATTCCTTAATATAATTGTATTCATTAATATAACTTATCTCCTCTTTCCTAAAATCTCACTCACCTCTCTTCTCCTTTTAATATGTAGTTATAAATCATAATTAAATAAATTATAGCTATAAATTCATAATTAAGCTCAAACTATAGTCGTTTCTAAAAGTGTTATGGGCAAATAACTTTAAAAAATAGTGAGAGAAATAAATTAAAAGCGACTACTATATTTTGATTGGACCAAACACACTCTATAATGGTCCATTTTTTTCTTATTTATATATATTACTGTATCCTGAAAGGATGATCATAGATCTTTTAGATAACAACAACTACTCTACTGATCTTACATTACCATAGCTAAATGGATTCATCAAGAATCACTCTCCGTCCATACAGATCAACGGACGTTGATGATCTACTCTCATGGGCATCTGATGATCGCGTAACCCGTTCCATCCATTTCAGTACATTGATTTCCAAAGATGAAGCCCTCACCTTCATCGACAAATCCTCCATTCCTTGGCGTCGATCCATATGCATTGACGATCGTTCAGTCGGAATCGTGGTGGCCCGGCCCGGATCTGGTGATGACAGGTGTCGGGCCGAAGTAGGATATGCTTTAGCAGTTGAGTATTGGGGACAGGGGATTACACCGAAGGCTGTAAAGATGTCAATTCCTTTAATTTTGGAGGAGTTTCCTGAAATAGTAAGACTGCAGGCATTAACTGATGCTGAGAATAAAGCATCACATAGAGTGTTGGAGAAGGCTGGCTTTATAAAAGAGGGTATGTTTAGAAAGTATTTTTACTTTAAAGGTGAAATTAAGGATGTTGTACTTTATAGTTTTCTTTCCACTGATTCTATACCTTCATGACATTTACAACTTGTTTGGATACCCGTTGTATTGTTAGTTTAAATTGGATAACTGTATAGGATATGAAAATTTTATCTGACAAGTGGATAACTCAATATGATATGATAAAATTTTAAAATCTAATCAAATTTCATGGCCAAACAGAGATATTTTCAAGTGAAAGGTAACTAACTTATACAAATGGACTTTCCTTAGATAAACCCCTTGCTATATACATTGGTAAGTGAACTCCATATAATTGAACACGCGAGGGATTGCTACAAAGGTACTCAAAATGGCAATCCCTCGCGTGTTCAATGACTTTCCTGGAATAGTAAAGCTTCAAGCTTATGCTAGTTCGGAGAACAAGGCTTCTCATAGGGTTTTGGAGAAGGCTGTATTTCTCTACCAAGGTTCAATAACAAATTATAGAAACACTAAGAAAAATGCAAATGTGGTTGATTTGGTAATTTATAGTTTACTATCCACAGACTATGGGGAAATAATAACACTCTGTTAAGTTATATTTTTCCCCAACGCATTTGAGTCTTTCAATTTATGTTTTACTACAATTGTGTAAAATGTACTTGCTATCCCTACATTAATAAAATTTCTGGCTCTTGTTACTACTTTTGAAGTTCAGATGTGCGGCTTTGGATCTGTATTTAAATTACGCAGCCTATGATTTTCGATCTGAACTAGCAATTTCTAATGCGATTGGCTGATGATTATAAGGTTTTAGGAATAGAAAATTTTGGTGACTTGTTCCAAATCAAGTGAACTTGTGCTCCTAATGAATAATTCGTGGAAAAATAATTCTGAGATTTCCCTTGCCTCTTTTCGTTGCTTGCCTGATTGCAGTTTTCTCACTGGTGCATTTCATTTGTTTTGCCTGATTGTAGTATAGACATGCGGATGCTAAGATTGATGTGTGAGACATACTAGAAAGGATAAGATTAGGAATGAAAGTTTTTCGGGCCAAGGTGGAAGTGACCCATATGGAGGATACACTTGCTAGAAGTTACCAACGATAAAGTTATATTATATCCCACGCGTACGGTGCGACCCAATAGTCAAAGATATGTGTTGAAAATTTTTCATGTATGTCCAAACCATGGTGGCCCATGAATTTCCAGCACTGAAGAAGTTGCAAAATTTAACCCATGTAATTGAAAATTAGCCATCAATGTAGAGTATTGTAGTATGATATAAACGATTGAGATATTCAAAGTTGTACAAACTAAAGAGAGGTAGATTTGGCATAATACGTGAGACATTGTACAGTTTGAAGACAAATCATATATTTATTATAAGTGACAACTTAGCCTCTGTTGTATAGACTATACAGGGATTATGTGCGGCACCACCCCGTTATTTCGAAGGGGGTTTCAACCAACGAATTTATGGTCATTAAGACTATACAACTCAGAAAGACAACCACTTTCTTTGGGATCAACTTATACACAACCACTATACAAGAAGGAGCACCACTACGGTAGCTTTCACTTTTACTTCATAAAGCATCTCTGAGCTAAAAGCACCATTTACCCCATTTGCCAAGAGATAATCTCTGTCCTTCCGTTTTTGCATAGGAACGAAACCAGAAACCAAACACCCAAACCTTCCTTTTCCCAAGTGATTAGCCTACATTAGCACTTGAGGGAGACCAGAAAATTTAGGGGGTAGAATTTACTGAGATTTCCTGAGGCAAGTGGGAGTTCAGCTGATCCACATAGGCAGGAATGACAAGCCGTTGCAATGGTGTTAAAGCCACAGTTAGCTGTGCAAATGATGGACGCAAGTTTGGATCACTGGAAAAAATACATGTACGAGGTAATTAGCATTCTGCATCTTGAAAAAGAAAAAGAAACTTAAAGGATAATACAGGTGCATGTCATTCTTACGTTTGCCAACATTCCCATATTATTCTTGCTACTATAGGATCAAGTTCCTTGGGAATTTCAAGGCGTTTATTCTGGAAGCCAACAGCTCCCACCACTTGCATAGGATTCATTCCACTCCAAGGTAATCTCAAGGTTGCAAGTTCCCATAGAATGACACCAAAACTGTAGATGTCACACCTGTCAAGTGACCAAAAATTTTAGCTGAGGAACACATAGCATGGAGAACTCAGCAAGTACAAAATCTGCTGCAAAATAAACACATGTTCCAAACTTAGCCATCTATGAGCTCATTTCATCCTAGTGACCAAGAATACCACAAAGGAAATGTTCATTCAGGAAACCATGTTTAGTTCAAAATTAGGATACGGAGTGTCAAAAGAGTTCAACAGATTACACCACTACAACTCCTCCAGGTTATATTCACTATTTTATAAGTTTGGAACTACGTAACCAAGAATTGTATCCTGGATGATGCGTTCCATTTTTGGAAAATATAAGGAAAGTGTAAGGCTGGCATTTGAATCCCAGGCAGCAGATGAAACAAATCCTTTCTCATACTTGCAGAGATGGTGCAGCAGTCCAGTTCCATGGGCATAACGACTATCTCAAAACTCAACTTTAGCCAAGTAGAAATGTAAATGTTATAGCTGATGTGGATTATGAACCCCATTTTTGGTTATTATCCAAGGCCAGGTTGTTAAATTGTCCCACATTGATCAAGTGAATGGGATTATCTTATTTTATCTTGTGCAATCCTCATCCATAAACTAGCTTTTGGGGCTTGAGTAAGACCTAAGGTCTATTTCCTTGAGGACTCCTATGTTATGTTGTTCATGCTCAAGATTCCCTGGGTATGCGAGGAAGTGTTAGATTTCCCACGTTATGTCTCATTATATGCCTTAGGCAATCTTCACTAATGAGCTAGCTTTTGGGGTTTGCATTGGACCCAACATCAATTTTCTTAACAAAAGGTAACAAGTAATATAAACATGATGAACAATGGCATGCATGCCTACCATGGAGGTTGACAGAAAAACAAAAAGGTCAAATTTGTAAAGGAAAAATTAGAACTACAAGAACATCTCTACACAGACTATGAGAGAAAACATGGAATTAGTAAAGAATATGTTAACTCACTTCTCATTCGAAGGTTCATTGCGGAGAACTTCTGGTGCCATCCACTCAGGCTATGGAATGAAAAGACTAGGTTAGACAATAACAAAAGCAAGTGAAGAAAGAAAATAATTATTATCCAAACTTCACCGTAAGGTAACACATGTAACCAATAGAAAACAGTTATATTGTTCTCACCGTTCCAGCTGTTGATTTGGAAGACAAAAATGTGTTGTGCTTCAAGCGAGACAAGCCAAAATCACCTACCTGCATTCCAAGATTCAAGAGTTACTAATAGTCCCTTCTAAGACATCCGACAAATTAAGGAATGGTTCAACAGAGATCCAGAGTTACTAACAGAAACAACCACAACCAAATATACACCCCCTTCAAAATGAACATAATCACACAATTGCATTACTTTCTTTTCATTTTGCTGTCCTAAATTCTTGAATTGAAGAAAAGGCTACAAAGGTTTGCTCACTGAAGCATTAAGGGTTTACAACCAACTCAACAAACCAAAAATAAGATCCAACTTTCTTTTTTTTTTTTTTTTTGATAAGATAAATAAGATCAACTTTTTAGTAACTGAAAAATCCGCCAGGGCCTGTTGGGGAGCAGTTCGAAGCCCGGTGGAAAATTAGGTCCATCCTTCCCACTTCTCTCCACTTAAATACCCAACTATGTCCACAACAAGGTTCAAACTCACGATGTGAGCTAATCCATACATCACACCTTGCACTCAACAAGACACAAAGGGAAAAACTAATAAATTTTG